TCTTTATGACTCCATTCAAGACTTGCGTGAATATCTATCGAATAATTTATATATAAACAGCGGTATTTTGAAATCACTTGGCAGAGAACCTCATACGGCTCTAAAATTCGATAAGTATATTATAGAAACAGCTCGCTTCAGGGTCTACAAAATTTTGACACTGTGAATTAGTAGCTCCTCAACCCCTCTCTTTATTTTTCTTCCACGGTCGATTAATCGTATGCAAACGCAGCAATGAAAATTGCGAGTAGGTTGGATTTTATGTGCCGTATCTTATATGCACTACTGTTACTATATATATGTTCGAGTAATTTGGTCGCACTGTGCGGAATTGCTTCACTTTGAAAATAAGTGGAGGTGGTGAAATCTGAATTATGGAAACGTCTGCAGACAGGGATCGTAATGCATTTTCTCAACTCATTTTATCAACGAAACAAATTTAATCATGTAACTACACATGGCATCTTGCGACAAATAAAATTATATTAACATTTTAAATGGTCGAGATAATATTCAATGACTGTGAGCGCTAATGGCGGTCAAAAAAGTGTCCAATGACGTGTGGATCGCTCATTCACAATTTTGTATAAACAATGTTGAGAGAAAACAAAGTGAGTAAAATAAATCTGGTAAAATATTTGATTTTTACTCGTCTAAGCACGGTTTCTTTGCAGCGTCTAAACACGCGAACTATTTGGCAATTGAGAGATGCGCGATTACTTTGAAAGATGAAATTCTACAAGAGATGTCGCGTCGTTTTCACAAAATTTTCGCTGCCAAGCGAGTGTGTTCCATCGATTGTAATAATACCGAGAAGCGAGCGTTGAAATTTGTTTATGACGGCGGCTGCGTCGATTTTAAGCCAAACGTCGCTTCGGTAAACGGCCCCGAGAGCTCGTAACGCCGTATTCATGCCACTACTTGCGCATTAAAGTGCGTTTCCGCTAAAAACGATGCTGCGCTGCACTGCAGTTTGGCAAAGTAGATGCCGAGCTTATGATAACGTTATTGGCAAGATATCACCAAGAGCTGCTATAAGTATACTCATACGAACGCAGATCCATGATATACGTTTAATACGTAAAAAAAAAGAGCGGCGGCTCGGCAACGACGCCAAATAACGCGAAAAGAAAAATAAAATCGACGATGATGAAAAGGCAAAGCACTACAATTTTATGTACTCATTTTTTGTTCTCCTTTCGAGTGAATTTGTATACATATGCGTTTATAACTCGACGTTTACTAATGCATCGAAGCAATTACGCTTTTTATTTTCGTACATTAACTTTATGACTTTGGGCAACTTTATGGCGTACATTTAATAAAGTCACTGAAAACGCACACTGAAAACGCACCTGCTCTATCTCTGCGCAGTCTACGAAATTTATTATCTTCATAAAGTAGAGACTGAAAAACAATTTCAGTCGATTTCAAGTGAAAACTAATCGCGTGTGCATGCAACTTATTTTTACACGCTAGCAGTGCTTGACGAAAAAAACAATTTCGAAAGGATTGAAAATACATGAGCACAAAACACACACACGTACGTGTAAAGATTTCGACAATCTTTCAAGTTTAATTAAGATATTTGCAAAGTAAATCCTTGAAATGCGTATTAATTAATTTTCATTCGTTTGCTTGTCCTTTTCGATCTCTCAATTTAACATTTACGCTAATTAACCGCGTTGACATAATTTTCCACGACGCGCGTCAGCCGTAGCCAGGGAATATTAATATAGCGTGTATGTACTCGTTACGGATCGCTCGTCGCGTTCGAAGTCGTGTGACACCTTGAAAAAACTTTTCACTGCAGCCAGGCCAATCCTTGATTTTTAACGAGTCGTACCATTTGTACAATGTGACAAGACACGATCTCGTAAGCAAGATTAATTCTACTCGTAGTTTAAGCGGAAAATCTCGTCGTTATATACGCTATGAGTAGAACGTCTCGTCGCGTCTCGAGATATGATGTACAGCTGAACACGAGGCGTCGATTAATCGCAGTCATCCGCGAAGACTCGACCAATTCTGGCTCGACGCCCGTCAAGCATATCTGCGCCAAGACGTGTGTATACGACACATTTACATGTCATCGATGAGTTCGCTTGTTTACGCGACACGGTCAGCGGACATATACTATTTTTGCCACTCGGTGAATCTCGTTCCCGCAGACGACGCGACTTTCGGAGGGGGCAAGGATTAAAGACGCACGATATAGATCAACCGCGAGCGCGTCTTTCCATAGCTCGGTGAATTATAAAAGCGAAACGATAAATTACACGTTTCCAGGTTACCGAGCGAAACGAGCTGCGTACAGCGCGGAAGAGAGCTTTAATCGAGCGTTGGTGGTGGTGGCGGCGGCGGCGGCAGCAACGGTTCGTGCTGCGTGACATTTTTAACGCGCCGTGTCTTGCTTTTAACGCGCACACGACGGATGCAAGTAATTGAAGATACGACACGGACGAGTTGCATCCACGAGCGATGACGACGATCTTGATGATGTTTTTTCTTTTTTTTTTTCTTGGAAAAACTCGATGCGGTGCAGCTTTGCGATTCGAGAAACTACCATTTCATCAATTTTTTACCTCTTCCAAGACAGATTTTCTTGAGATTTCATCATCGGTAAACGACTTCTGCCTGATTTCGGATTGGCTTTAAAATTTGTCTTGTTAATTTGAACGGCTGCATCTTAATTGAGCAACTTTTAAAATTATTTGACAAGGATTTCCGCGAGTTAATGGCAAAAAATTTTAATTTACGAGAATATTATACCAAGTATTTCATAAAACATGCACTACCTGGAAACGACCAGAAGCGGTCGTTATGAGTACAACACTCGAAGCAATAAATGCACGTGTACGTGTAATAAATACTTGCGATACGTATTGCTGATAAGAAATTATTTAAAAAAGTAGAACACCCTTATTAACTGGCGAAATTATAGTCCGTTAACGTATGCAGAGTGTATAATGCAGTCAATACTGATACGACGTGAATTACGCGCTCCTATTTATCTCTCTGCCGACACGCCTCGTGGCAATTGAGCAGTTAGTATGACGAATGTGCGATCGAAATGAGACTCAGTTTCGAAAGATATCGAGAAAAATAAAATTCGAAGAAAATCAGCGAAAAAATCCGGGCAATGACAAAAAAAGTAAATCGTTTATCTTTTCAAACAATGTAATAGCCAAGCAGTTAATACTCAAAGACAGCCGTAGAGCCATTGACTTGGAAAAAAATTCAAATTGTTTTTCGCTGTCGTTCGAGTCCGTTATATAGAGACGATGACGACGACAGCCGAGAAACATTGGCTCGCTTATCACTCGAACGACCCTAGCGTACGACGTGTCTAATCGGCTACTAATCGTCCGGTAGCAGTTACGTTCCCTTACGTGTATAAGCTGGTATATATACGGAACCCGACGAGCGAAGCCGACGAACTGGCTATAATTCTTTCGCCGATAATGGTATAAAAAGTCGAAGCTGCAACAACCGGCGATCAAGACAAACTGCTACAAGTATATGCGTCGCTAATTGACGCTAGTTGCAAACAGCAAGCAGCTACTGCTATACATGTATATATGGGCATACATACGGGAGCAGGTTTACAGAATTAGATGCTCTGCATGACAGATTGATGCTACATTTTTTTTTAAACGAATTACTTCGAACTATTCTTTACTCGTGAATTTCGCGAATTTTCCTGTGAATATTATACGTTCGCTGCAGCAACCAACCAAAATTATCCACGAGCTCGTTAATTCAGAGAACAAATTATTACGAGACCAATTGAAATATCAGTTGCGAAAAAGACGATATTTCATAAAAGCTTACAAGAAAACAGATCGGCGTTAAACGCGAGTGCAACTACTCGCAGTGGAGATGATATTTATAAGTTAGTTGACCGCGATGACGAATTTCGTCGCATGGCATGAGAGATGAAATCCATTAATGGAACTCACGTTGGCCGTATAAAAAACAAAGTCTCGGTTTTCAATTATCAGCAATTAAACACCCCATGTTCTCTGATTTTTATCGGTAATGTAAATATATTCTTTGAAACAATTGATTTTAATTCACATATCCGTCTGATATTTTATTTTTGATGAATAAATTGCTAAGCCTTGATGCAGCAGATTTTAGATTTAATTTATAAATTGGCCGAGTAACTTGGATACGGCGATGTCGAAAGCAATAGTCACTTGTTCACGTAATTTAGTTAGGTTGTCGCGCATCGATAAAAGCTCGAATGAAGGAATATAGTCAAGTCCAACTTTAATACTGATTTTAACATGTACACGCATTAAGAATGCACACGACTTACTGTCCGATCTATTGCTTTCTCTCGCATTATCATTTAGTGCACTCAAGTCCCCGGACGCTATAAATCTGAACTCTCCTAAATCACACTAGCACCAATACTACTCGAGTGAGTGAGTTTAAAGCAAAGCTCGAGCCGTGTCAAACAGAAATTAATCTACTCCGCAAACATATGTGACGTGTGTTAGTGCAAGTAAGCTCATGCGAATATAGAATGTTAGCTAACGACGCTGCATGTGCTCAGTAGAACGCGCGTGAATAATTTTATGCAAGAAAGAATTTTTTCTTAGTCATTCCATAGACATAAATTGAATATATTCTGGTGAACGAGCCGTTACTATGGTAATCATTTACCGAAACCAAGCCAGTTCGGATTTATATCTGATTTGATGATTCTAATGGGCTTAACTATTATTTTTTGGTGACATTAAAAAGAAAATATTTAGGGCAAAAAACACTGAAATAATATATATTCACAAAAAGTAGTGGTTTTTTAATATTTTTCACGGGTCTCAACGCAAAATTTAAGGTGCATAATTATTCGCATTAAAAAATGTTCACCGCTACACTTTTAGTATTCATTCGAATGCGCACGCGCTAATCTCCCGGCTTCGTGTACACCACAAATGAGTTGTAAACAAAATGGCAAGATTACCAGTGAGCTTATAATTACTGAACTATCAACATGAGTAGCTCCGGACAGAGACTCTCGGGAGTTGAGTTTTTCATCGTCCTTCCAGATGGAAAAATTGAGAATTATCCACAACAGTTGACTTATTGGATTCAATGCAATGACAATGAATCAATTATTAATTTTTTAAATAAAGTCGAAACGGTTCTCACAATTCAGGAGGATCTGTCCAAAGCAAATGATACTCTTTTGTGCTTGCTTGATTTACTCTCAGAAACTAAAAAATTTATTGGAGCAGACCCCCAACTCATAAGGATCTTCAATGGAATTCGTAGAACATTCAAGAGTTTAATCTTTACATACGATAACAGGTTGAAGGTAAGTAGATTTAAACTTCTTTTTTGAAAATTTTAAAGTTCTTTGCCATTCAAATATATAAAGTAATGCGATAAAAGTATAAATTTATTAAAGGATAACGATGCCTGTAGGGTCACATTTTAAAGCACGTGTTTTTGAGATTCCTACAAAATATTTTTCCCAAAAACTATCACGGGTGACTTGACAATAACAAAAATAATATACTCATAATTTGGTGTTGAAATTTCAGAACACGGATAATACATATATTAGAACAAAATATGTTGAATATTATAATTTATTCACTTTTTTATTATTGATTAGCTTTGGGCATGTAGAAATATCATGTCAATTTTGAACCAATTAAAAACGCCAGAAAAATATGATGAATCCTCTAGTAAATTTTTGTCGTTTTTGGGGTCGTTTTGTCTATTGGGATTCAATAAACAAGTTTATGTCACGTGTGGTTCTTTTGGTTTAGTATTGGACTATTTATGTAAATCGGAATACCTCGTACCAGCCATCTTAGCACTCAGGTAATTTATAGAATTAAAATAACCTTATGGGATCTAAATTTAATTCAATACATTTTTACTGGTTGTAGGGATATGTTTCTCTATTATAATGAAATTCCAATACCCCTTGTTGTACATAAACTGATAGATAAATTAAAGGATATATTAATTGTATCTTCGAATGGAGAATATAAAGATGCATATCTTGCTCAAATTAGCTTGAAAACCATATCAATTATTGCTAGTTGGCACATGGATGGTCAAGCAGGTGCAAAGCGAATACTGCGAGATGAAAACAATATGATTTTAAAACTTCTTTTGAGAAATTTTGAAACTAAACATGCTGAATCCATTTATTGCATTTATTATCTGTCAAAAGTACCAGAATGTCGATATAAGTTAATGACCATATTCAATGACGATCAAAATAATTGCATAAAAATAATAGTAAAAACACTGAATGAGACAGATGAAAAACAATGCACATTCAGTATGATGATATCTATTTTATGCCATTTGTGCTATGAAAGTGAACATAATGAGAAAATGCGTGAATTGGGTATAAAATGCTTGATGGATGTACTTAGAAAAGAAAAAAATAAAAAACTTCGTTTGAAGATATTACGTGCTTTTTATATGCTTGCCAATGATGAGAAAAATATTTTAGTATTAATCAAAGAAGGTATTTTAAATATTATAGTTAGTTATTACAGACTTATGTTAGCTGTAGAAGAGCATAGCAAAACGAATGATTCGGAATTCTTAAAATGTCAGCATTCGAACAGTATTGAAGATCATGATGTAACACATTCTAAAAAATTGATGAAATGGTAAAAATTGACAATCAACTTTTTAAATATCTTAAAATCAATTATTTTGATTTTTAATAGTATTTTTAATCTCACAAAAAAGGCTTCCTGCGCAGTATTTGGTAACATTGAGTGAATCTCTTTTATCTTCCTTAACACTGCATCCAAAGTTTTTAGAACCTACAGAAGATAAGATTCAAATTCCAATGGAAAATTATAGCCCTGTTTGTAGTGAAACCGATCTAGATAGTGATTATGAAGGACCATTTATTCCTATCTCAGATCATCCGAAATTTAGTTCTATTTCTAAAAAAATCTACGACTATGATCCCAACCGAGAATTTAAGGCGTATTTATCCCTCTTAAAAGCAATGATTTTTTCAAATTACATTGCAATTGAACTTGTAGATCCTGTTATAATCCAGACGATCATAAAGTATATTAAATGTTCAACAGATAAAATGGCTTCAAATATTCTTCAAAGAATTGCTGCGTAAGTTATATGAGAATTCGAATCTTTATCATTAGATGCAAAATAAATTCCACCGAACATTTATTTACAGAAAAATGTCCTACTTTTTACCACTAATTAGACAAGGTTTTATATTTGAGAGTCAAATTTTATCCGAAGCAAAACATTATAAAGATCAGCTAAGACTTTTGGCCGAAGAAAGTAAATTGGTTGGTGAACTTCAAAATACTCTAATACATAAAAGTCGTGGTTCAGATATAGTGGCTATTTCCATTCCAGTTCTTATTAATAATAAAGATACTCTACGTAACTTGTTATTAAATCATATGTGTAGTGGTCTGCAAATTATTTTTGATGTATTAGCTGATCCAGAACATAAGTGGTATGAAGCAGCAATTCTGTCAATATTCAAGTTAGCAAAAACCTTAAATTTAAAGTTTAATCCGGAATCTGAATTCAAACCTGAATCTGGTGGGGTATGCATACTATTTAAATTAAAAGTTATGCTTTTTAATAATTAATAAAAAAAATTAAATGATTTTAATTTCTTAGGAATGTCATGAAGATAGTTCAAAAAGCTCTTCATTAGTCACAGTTGATCTAGACGATTCTGCAATAACAGGCGAACGATTGGAAGTAATTTTGCTGGCCTTGGAAGATAAAAATATAACGACCTGGCCAGTTAAAACGCTTTTATATGTCATTGTGATGGCTGAAAAATATTCTATGGACCTTATATCAAACAGAGTAAAAAAAGCATTTATTGAAAAATATCACAACAGTATCATACGCACTAACGACCACAAAAGTTTTTATCTTGTATGGAAATGGTCATGGGAATGGTCAAGAAAAGGTCATAGGATAAGTGGTTGGTGTAAGAAGTTAAATTTATTTAGTGTACAAACATTCATGACGATGAAAATTAAAAAAGCTGAACGTATTGAAACATTTAAAAAAATTCAAGCTGGTTGTAATAAATTAGTGACCGTCGAGTCTAATAACCCATATATTGATTTTTTGAAAATGATCAACGAGTCTATGAAAGATTATCGGTACTGGTTCACCAAAAGTGATTTAAAAGTTAATGGATGGTGCGAAGCAACAGCTAAAACAAAAATTGAACAATTATTCAAGAATATAAAAATTGGTTAGTGAATATTTAAATTAAAATTCAACTTCGTGCGTAAATAAAAGTTAGGTTCTTCTACGTTTTGAACTGTTCATGTAGATTAATGTCAGCTCGATTATTTGTAAAAAAATATATTCGTTTGATGAGGCGTAAAAAATGAAAAATGAAAATTTTATTGACGACGAATTTATTAAACTTCAAACTCTTAAAACTTGTTGGTGAATGTATTCAACTACAACTTAAAATTATAAATATGTATTTGTATATATGTAGAAATGGTTCCAATTTCTATATTATTAATGACAATATTGAATCATTATGCATTATACTTGCATAAAATAAATTTCTATAATAATTAGGGCTGTGCGAGTATCCGATTTTTCGAGTTTTACTCGGTGAGTCGAGTTCGAGTCGAGTCGGGAAAATTCGAGTACTCGAGTTTTTTCGAATACTCGATTTTTTTTCGAGTACTCGAGTTTTTTCGGGTACTCGAATTTTTTCGAGTAATCGATTTTTTTCGAGTACTCGCAATGTATTTAAATTTTAAGTAAATAAATGGTGAATCAACAGTCTCTAGACCACCTCTCTTTATGTGTACATGCTTATATGTGTGATATTCGCAGCGGATTGGATTGGAAGAAGAAAATAATTTGATTGCACCGCACTTCATCACACTTACAAGCATGTATACATAAAGGGAGGGGGTCTAGAGACTGTTAATTCATCATTTATTAACTTAAAACTTAAGTATATTGTGAGTACCCGAAAAAACTCGAGTACTCAAAAAATCGAGTACTCGACTCGAACTCGAGGAAAAAACTCGAACTCGACGAGTCGAGTTTTTTCGAGTACTCGCACAGCCCTAATAATAATTATTGAATTTTTTATCCAGATAAAAATTAATTAAATAATTATCAATAATTAATTCATATTACTATCACGCTTTATTAATAAATCAACACATTCAACTGCGAGCTTGAAGAAGACCACCAGCGAAACTGGTCTAATTTTTTCAGCTATCCATATCGATATCATCCTATAATACTATATCAACTGTAATATACTTTGCATTACACACACACGAACGGCGCCACTGAATACGAGTATCTATCTGAATATTGCGTTTTTATGAAACTTGAACTTGACTTATGAACTTTTCCTCGTTATTTGTGCAAGTGTAAATTGACTTTTGATGCATAATCATCGAGTCAAAATGCACAATCGTACACGTGTATAAATTCAAATGTAATAGATAAATGTAATGCATATAGACTATATATTAACGTAATTTATATAATTTATCTCTTGAACGGTCCAAAAATTTAGTAGGGTAACCAAAAACAAGAGTGAGTACATAAAAACAACAAAATTATTAAAAATTACACTTGATTTAATAAAAAATGGTCCAGCTGCCTTTTTAGGTACTTTGAAGCGATTCGAGGATGAGGGAGCGCAGATTCGCGAAAAAAATGTCCCTAGGGACACTCTTATAAACACACATAACATGTATTATAAGTACAAATACGCGAACGATCAAGTATGATAATATGTTTTAGCTTTTGTTATCGACTAATACTATCAAGCGGTAGACGCATGAAGCGACTATTAAACCATTCTACTTGTCGAATCTCTATATTTAGTGAATTTTTTTAACAGCAAATTACGATTGAATGTATAGTATAAAGATGCACTGCAGTGGTCTTTATGACGTGATTAACTGTACAAAAAAATTTATGAAAATTTAATCATATGCATTGCTTTTAAAACAATAATGAACCAAAAAATGTAATTTTATACTCAAATGAGAAAATTTTGATTGAAAATTAATGTTTTAGTACTGGTTCACTTTTTGTGTTAATTGATCAAAATTTGCATGAACCATTTGCATTCATCACTAGATGTCGAGAGCCTTTGCCTGTAAATTTGCATGTGCCAAAGTCAAAATAATTGTTTAAGTAAAGTAAGTACTTACCACTTACGGTTTTGAAGAAAATTCGAATTGATTTATTCAAGGTTTTGGATTATTTCAATGCACGTTGTTGAAAGAATGAAATCGATTTATGAATTAAAAGAAACTTTGTCATACTCGAGCTACGATACATCAGTATGATTAGCAAACTAAATGGCCAATACAGGTCATAAATCAGTTGATCGCCAACGGTAGTTTCTTCTCCATACACCGAGAGCCGCGTTTGACATTTTTATCGCATCTTACATTTCGTACGCAATCGCGCCTGCGCGATCGCAAGCAGATATTCGATCAATTTTTAAACTTATATATATTACGCGAAGAGTCTCCTGTGAAGCTAGCTGTATATGCACATCGCAGCAGCAGCCCAACAGCCCAAAGGCACATAATGAAATATACGACCGAACCCTTCCGCAAAGCAACGTCAAATAATAAATAAGCATGCTAAATAGTGTATGTACCTGGATATATTTGCCTAAAGCATGCTTGTCTAGTTGAACATAAAAAAGCGCAGAAAAAGAGTCACATAACGATCACGAGAGGCTGAAAGATCCCGAGATGCGGTCGCTCCTGTTTTATTCACAGAGACCGCCGTCACATATTTCATCCACTGGCATTCTGATTGAATTTATAAGCTCGAAATACTAAGTTTACTCGTCAAAGCAATAAAGTATAGAAAATCGTCGCTGCGTCGAAATAAAAATTGTCACTATTGCACCAACAGATTTGATCATCACTAACTAAATATTACATGCTTCGCAGTATTATCACTTCTCTCGGGAATATAAAAAGTGAAAAAGTTCGTTCCTGCTACTGACACACGACCATTGATGTTACGTTATCCGTTCTCGTTGAATCGATGGTTTTTCCATAAATTCGCACAGCATCTGCAGGGTAGCCGATTTAGAATTTTTATAATAACTGAAGGTTATGTGCTAATGTAAACAGAGCGTCTTTGAAGTAGCACTCGTAATTCTCAGGTTGAGGTATATTTTAGTTATAACAATAGTTTGGTTATCTCATGACTAACGTTAAATTGAATATTAGATTTTTATTAGAATTTTCAATGTATCCGAAAATATAAACCACCTCACAGCCTTTTTATTTGACAGAGGTAGTCGGCCTTCATATGAAAAGGGAGGTGTTGAAAAATCTATGTATATGTAAGTGCGATCCTTCTGATTTACATGTGTGTATACGGATGCAAACTGTACATCTCCTTATCACCGCACAGGAGTGGGGCTGCGTAGCCCACCGGCGAGTGCTTGCACGCGAACACGCTGATTTTTGCTAAACACTGCGCAGAGCGCACATCACTTCGTACGTTAATTACCTATACCTATTTTACTTACTATCAATATATTATATTTTACTTTTATATATAATAAACAAAGTGTCTATTTATTTCTCAATCCTACTAGCTGCTCCAGTACAAGTTCTCATGTGAAAATCAAAGTGATTTTAAGAAACAGGAGGTAACCAAGATTTGTCACTTCACTTCTTCGCTGTATGGAGCAGAAGTGTACAGTACAGTTCACTTGCGAGAAAATGGTTTATCAACAAATGCTTACCAACATGAGCTATTCACGCACCTGTCTTCTAGTTACATTCCCAGGCGCAGTTACGTACAAGTACTTAAGCTATAAATATGCATCCGTGTCGGCAGTTATCGCTGATTAAGCGCGTAAACGTATAAATTTTAATATTCATACAAGCGCGCCGAACTCATCAAACTGTCAGCGCTTGCCTGCCAAGTTGTAATGAAAAGCTCACGCCGAACGAGCGGTCGATATATTTTAATTTACATTAAACGAGTCTCTCTAATGTTTCTTTCTCTTTCTCGAGGCAGGCAAGAAGGCAAGAAAGTGAGTAGGTTGCGGTGTCGATGTATATGTGTATAGGAACGAGACCTGATTGCTCTGTTATACGTAGCACGCAGCGCTGCTCTTCGTCAGAAGCTGTCAAATGGTCGAGTATGTGTATGTAAAGAGAGAAAATTGAAAACAGGACATAAGCTATCCAATCACTAGTCACATGCATACATTCCTTTTGGCTTTTGCAACTCTGTTCAATAGAAGTTAACTTTTCAAGATGGTTTTGAAAATCGTCATGTTTCTTCACCAAATGTTGTTTCATAATTTTTTCGATAATTTTCGTGAAAAAAATTCCACACAGTGTCATTTTATCGCTGAAAATTAGTTTCAATTTTGCGTAAAAATATTCAAAAAACAATGCATTTACAAAACCGACTTCATCAATTTTGGCAATTTTTACAATCTAAAATTTTACTAACACACTCCAGATAAAAATTTTGACGATATGTTCACCAGTTTTCAGAATGTTAAGGGGACACACCTGTGTTTATGCCTATAAATGAAAAACATGAAAATTAAGGATTACTATTAAAATTTTTTGTTTTTGATGTTAAAATATGTTTTTATTAGTCCTTTTACAGCAAAAAATATGTCTCTAGTTCCTTTTTATTACTAACAATTATCCAGGATTCATGTATATTGACTTGTGATTTCTAAGTCATTGACCGCATGATTTTGAATGCAATTTTCCACCAATCCTTGGGGTCTCAAAAGTTTTGTAATAAAATTCTTTTCCACTTACGTGTAACAGAATTTAAACAAAAGGCTTGCAAAATTTTTTTCATACTGAAGTACAAAAAAATAACAAAAGTAGCTATTTTAATAACGCTTATTACTATAATTGTAGATTAGTAGATTAGAAAAATAACTAAATAAAAAACTGCTATACTATACTATACCAGATCGGTGACCCGGTGCACCAAGTCGGTTAAATATGGCAATCAGACCTTCAGCTAACCACCCTCAACAACCCCTGAAACTGTTGACCCAAAATAGGCCGAAATCAATTGAGCTGAAAGGATAAACTTATTATTATAATATATTATTATACTATTATATTATATTATTCATAAGGACATCAATAATATAATATAATATTAATTAATAATAATTAACGGAAACAATCCTGAGTATGCATCTGAATGAAAAATCAAGGAAACAGTCCTGTCAGCAACTAGGTTGTTATATTGATTCTAAATTTTCGATTTACTCAGCACTTTGCAACTGGGGTTGCCACCCAGTAGTAGTAGTAATTCCTAATTTTTCATTTATAGGCATAAACACAGGTGTGTCTCCATAAGTAGAGCTGGTCAGTTTATTAGCTGGTTAATTAATTTATTAGTCTATTATTTTATATTTGGGTCAAAATAATACTTTTTTACAAAACCGTGCGCACGTATGTCACCGATCTTGACGCGCTTTTGGTATGTTATAGTACATGGTATAAAGGCCCCAAAAAAAAATTTTTAGACCCCCTCCCCCCTCCTGCCCCCCACTTCCGGTAAAAACGTCCATTT